GAACTTCTGAGATCTGTTTTATATATATAAAATATTTAACTCCAATTTGCTAATAAGCAATTAATTTCAAAACTCTGAATTACAACATGTTACTTGTCCCCATGGTTTACAACTATACAATATCTTTTGCAGAATCTGTGAGATCCAGGCTGTTGACTGTACAACAATATCCTCGTTTACAGTGAGAGAATGTGAGGGTTCCAGTAGGATGGGCTCAAGGCCAAGGCGCTACTTGTTCACAGGCCACACAAACGGCAGCATTCAGATGTGGGATCTGACCACCGCGATGGATATGGTCAACAAAAGTGAAGAGAAGGGTAGGTCCATGAGCAAAGTTGTTTGTCCACAAGGTGATCAGCTTCTGACATAAGTGATGATAACGAGTGTGTGTTTTCCTTAGACGTAGGTGGTCCAACTGAAGAAGAGCTACTCAAATTACTGGATCAGTGTGACCTGAGCACATCTCGCTGTGCTACTCCTAACATCAGTCCAGCCACTTCTGTGGTTCAGCACAGCCGTCTCCGCGAATCAAATTCTAGGTAGGGTACAGAGTTGTGGATCGTATGAGTAGTTGAATTGATTGCTTTTGGGAAAATTGGCTGAGATACTGTAATCACATAGTTGTTGAAAGCATCATTTTTCAAGGCATTTTTTTTAAATTATTTTTTTAACATACTTTATTGTCCCAATTGGTTTCCATATAACACCCAGTGCTTATCCCAAGTGCCCTCCTCCATGGCCATCACCTATTTTCTCCTCTCCCCCACCCCCATCAGCCCTGAGTTTATTCTCAGTATTGAGGACTCTCTCATGGTTTGCCTCCCTCCCTCTCCCCAACTGTTTTTCCCCTGCCCCTCCCCCATGGTCCTCTGTTAAGTTTCTCCTGTTCCACATATGAGTGAAAACATACAGTAACTGTTCTTCTCTGCATGACTTATTTCACTCAGCATAACACCCTCAAGTTCCGTCCACATTGCTACACATGGCCAGCTTTCATTCTTTCTCATTGCCATGTAGTATTCCATTGTATAGATAAACCACATCTTCTTGATCCATTCGTCAGTGGATGGACACTTAGGCTCTTTCCATGTTTTGGCTATTGTTGAGAGTGTTGCTATGAACATTGGGGTACATGTGCCCCTATGCATCAGCACCCCTGTGTCCCTTAGGTAAATTCCCAGCAGTGCTATTCCTGGGTCATAGGGGAGTTCTGTTGTTAATTTTTTGAGGAACCTGCATACTGTTTTCCAGAGGGGCTGCACCAGTTTACATTCCCACCAGCAGTGTAGGAGGGTGCCCATTTCTCCACATCCTCGTCGAGGCATATCTTTAATTCAGACTTTATTGATACTCAGTTTTCTTAAAACATTTTACTAAATTTCTCACCTGCAGGCATATCTGGTTCTTTTCATAGAATATATTTTCAGGAGCATCTGAGAGGCTCAAATGCTTAAGTGGCTGACTCTTGATTTCCACTCAGGTCATGATCTCACGGTTCATGAGTTTGAGCCCCACATTGGGCTCTGCATTGACAGCGTGGAACCTGCTTGGGATTCGTTCTCTCTCAAAAATAAATAAACTTAAAAAAACATTTTTTAAAAATATTTTTTCCCTTTAACTTTGTGAATTGCTGCCAATTTGGATGCCTGTTATGTGATCAGGAGTTCATTCAAAGGAAATTAGAAAAAGCACATGTCACCTTGAATAGTGTATGGAATTTTTGTTCCTGTAGCCTTAGGGAAATATTAAAGTGATTACGTCAGCTCTCAAAGCTTACATTTGGTTATTTTGTACTTCTGATACAGTGGCGTCGTTTATTTGGAATTCAAAAATTCCAAAATTTGAACCCAGGACCAAATACTAAATTATATTGGTTCCCTATAGGTTTTAAAAGTTTCGTCCCCCGCCTCCCAGCTTTTTTCAGCTATTCAGAATTTCAGATTCACTGAATATATGTATGTTATTATTTGCATTGGTAATTAGATAAGCACACACACACACATACACACACACTAATCCATAATATAGAGTACTTAATAAGTACATTTTTATATATAGAAATAAAGATAGGCATTCTTTATATACTTAAATAATATCCTTTCCTTATAGTTTAATTAATGAGATGTGCCCCTGAAAAATCCCAGAAAGTTATCTGAACTGTAATTTTTTTTATAATAACTGTATTTCAGCCTCCAGCTCCAGCACCATGAAACCATCCACGAAGCAGCTACTTATGGTTCCGTTAGGCCTTACAGAGAGAGTCCTTTGTTAGCAAGAGCAAGGAGAACGGAGAGCTTTCACAGTTACAGGGACTTCCAGACTGTTAATTTGAACAGAAATGTAGAACGAGCTGTCCCTGAAAATGGTAACTTGGGTCCAATACAGGCCGAAGTACAGCGGGCAACAGGGGAATGTAGTGTATCGGAGAGAAAGTCTCCTGGAACAGAAACAAAAAGTTTGAGAGAACCAGAGAGTGGATTGGAAGTGCATAAAGTAGCTGAAGGTCTAGAATCTAAGAAAAGGTCATCAGAAGAAGAAAATGAAAATAAAGTGGAGTTAAGGAAGAAAGGGGGATTTGAAGGAGGAGGGTTCCTTGGAAGAAAGAAAGTTCCGCATCTGGCGTCCTCACCCAGTACTTCGGATGGAGGAACGGACTCCCCAGGCACCGCGTCCCCGTCTCCTACAAAGACCACGCCATCTCCTCGGCATAAGAAAAGTGATTCTTCGGGTCAAGAGTACAGCTTGTGAAAACTTACCAGAATGAATAGTTCTGTTAATTTAGACGAAAGTTCAAAACTTTACTGGATTTCAGTACATTAGCTTTTACGCCAAAACTTTACAAATTAAAACTGGAGTTCATTCAGTATCTTTTTAAACAGAAATTACCTGGAGTAGGGAGATAAAATAATTGTATCTCTTTTCACCTTTTGGAAAGTTTTTTTTTAGTTTTACAAGTACATTTAACAAGATTGTTTGTAAAAAAAAAAAAAAAAGTCCATTTCAATATTTCACTACTCTCTGGATGTTGGAAGCAAAGTACCAAGTCTGACTAAGATGGTGCCCACATCCAAGCATCCTCTGAGGGCACAGGGACCAGCAGTGCGTTCCTAACCCCCATAATGCTTGAGGTCTGGCTTGCAAGGTCATGTTAAGCGAATCCCATTAATTCTCTTTGGAACTTAGTCTCCTAGCACTTATTGTGATTGCCAAGTGTTTACCAGATATTTAATGAGGTGCTACGTTTGTGAAAAAATATCATCTAATTCAAAAAACACTATTGATGTTGAACACCAGATAACACTGTATAGTAGTCAGTCCCTTAGGGTATTCTTTTTTTTAATTGTGGATCATTATCTGATTCTCATTTTTGGAGTTCGTAAGTCTTAGCAAGCATCACCCATGTTAATACCAAACATCCATTTTTAACTTCCTTTAAAGTTTGGAGGGGTGTCTGTTTGAACAGGTGAAGTAACAATAATAATCCAGGACCGAGCTTTGAGTGCCCGGAAGGGAAACCGTACTAGTTGTTAGTCTGCCTTCTTTTTTTTAGGATCCACCATATTTTCCCCCCACTGTTAATAATGAAGATAATCAAGTTAGAACATTGCCATTTTGTTAAGCGTGTGAAACTGCAATTCTCAATTTTTGGTTAAAGGTTTTGGCTGCTGTAAAAATATTATTTTAAAATATATTTCGAATTGCAAGAACAAAAAAATTTTTGTACTTTTTTTCATTTAATTGGCATAATTTTCAAGTTTCTGCAAATAGGGTAATTGTAAATTTAAAGCATTAAGCGTTTATTGGTGAATAATGTATATATTCCCATTCCAAGAAATATTAAGTGAGTGAAGCCGAAATAAATCCTTTAAAGTTTACTATATTGCTAGTGATTTCACAAGTCCTCTTGTATTTATTTATCAGTTAAGTCTAATAAAAATGATTAAGACTATGTGTTCTCTGTTATTTAAGGAATAGAAAGCCTGTTTGAAGTAAACCTACGTGAGTTTGTTCATGTCTTCTCCCTGCAGTGAGAAAGGGGAGGGGCGGGGAGAACTTAACGTAAAGCTAACGTGCATTATCATGGAGGGAGAATATTAGGCCAAACATAATTTCCATATTATGGATTTGTAATTCTCTCCATACCCTTCTTTCTCATTATCACTGTCCTGTAAAAGTTTTGGGGGCAAGTAAGAAAATGAAAGAAGTTTTGAGTATTTGCCCAACCTTTAACAAGCATAAAAGGCCGGGGGAGGGGGGAAGGTAGACTATTCTAGAGTAAAATCCCAAAGAAAGGCAACCCACCATACCACGGGTTACTATGAGTCAAATCTTTTTTTATCTCTTTCACTTACGGGAGTTTGAACCTTCATGTTAGGACACGGGTTTTGAGTCGACTCTGTCACTGAACTTTGTGACCTTGAGCAGATTATCCCTGCTATGCCTAAGTGTTTTCCTTGTACTTACTTCATTAGGGTTTTTGTGACCCAAGGAAAAAATTGAGATGAATCTACATACTTTGTGTTCAATGAAAAATGAGAACAGAATCCTGATTCTCATGATGCGAGTTTTTTAAGTAATTCGGTACTTCAGAGGAGTACTCAGAAGTATCATCATACCGGTTGCTGTCCTCACTTCATAGAGGAGACCACTTAGGAGAAATACTTCGCCACAAAGTTTGTCAGCTACTGAGCCAACTTTTGAACCTGTGCTGCCTTTTTCAGGAGCCTATGGTCTTGTTCCTGGCTTTCTCATCTAGGCTTATACATCAGAATGACCTCAGACTATACATGCCCATCTGCCCAGACCTCCCTCCAATCTGGTGGGTGTTACTCATGCTTTGGAAAAAGTACCACAGTTGATTCTAATGTACATTTGTAGTTGAGAGATTATAAAGAGCATCCTATTTTCTTAAATGGGTTCAGCCTTATCATTGTTATTTATGTGTTAGTTGTAAATATAAGCTCCTTATCACCGAATTATTCCATCTGGACTGTTTTATTTACAGGTTGTTCAAGTTGAATTGTATTGATGCTAACATGATTTTTGGATAAGCATAAGATACACTGAAAACTTAGAGTTGGCAAGATTTGTCAGGAGTTGGTCAGTCTGAGGAACTGTTCTTCCACAGACTGGCTTAGAGCCTCAGCACCCCCAAAGTTCACAATCTGACTTGTTTTGAGGCAGAACAAGGGTTATCCCTAACGTAATAAATCTTTGCCACTTTAGCCGTGGGAAAATCCACCTACCTCTGGATTAGCTCGCAAAATATTGTCTGACAATTGTGTATGTGACCTATAGACTCAAAGTAACTTCCTGGAATCATTACATAGCCCTTTTAAGAATAAGGAAGACAGTATTTTTTACATTGTTTTCCATGAAGAACAAATACCTTTAATTTAATGTTGATGACTTGGAAAAAAATGTTTCTTGGTCTAGGACTTTCACCAATGACTTTGTAGTCCAAATAGAACAGATGCTAGAAGATGTTGATCCGTGGCAATTGGACTGTGGCGTATCATCCGCTCTTTGTGATTCGAGGGCTGAAATAGCAAGTTCTCTGAAATGAAGGGCTATAGTACAAAGTAATAGACATATACGCTATGCATATGATGATACACGCTCATGTATCCTCTTGTGTTTACATACAAATGTTAATTGAAACACTTGCAAAGCTGGAAGGAGCACAAAACTTCTTTTTTAATTCCACAGGCTAATTACATATTGCAAATAGAACAGCGGTTTCCATGGGAAAGGTGCTAAGTTGACGATGTCAGTATTCCCGTGTACACGGTCAATTGACAGAATTTTATGGAAAGTATTGATTGGAGTTTCAAAACGATGTAAAATATGTGGTGAATAGCTCTGTAGTCCTTAGATTTTCACAAGATTCACAAATGCAGGAACAGAGATTTAAAAGTGTATGTGGTGCTCTGTCAAAATGCTGGTGTATACTTTTTTTAAAAAATTAAGTTTAGTGCATACTTATCCCTAAACACGGTAATTACATTGAGCTTTCAGCTCAGTGTGAATCCACCAGCGCAGTTTGGTTTTCTCTAGCTGATTCAGCTTGGCCTGAAACCAGGACTTTACTGTGTAGCTGTGATCATTGGAATTACTGTTTATTCCAGGATTGTGTCACTCCATGGGAATAAAGGATTGAAAGGAGCAGCAGTGACGTCCTCTCAGAAGAACTGCTTAGTTTCTTACATGTAACAACGGTGGGCCAATTTGAAATTGTCCCTGTTTGTCCACTTAACCAGTGGAGTCACTGTCTGAGCCAAGTGAAAATTACAAGCTTATTTAGTAGAGCAAAGTAAGTATTTTCATTTCGATGGTACCCCTTATTTCAGACCACCGGAAAAGCAGACCTCTATTATGGAAGAACAGTTTTCAAAAACAATCCTCATTTTCTTTTTTTGAAGGATTATAGAATAACCAGAAATGGATCTTTCTAGCATATATTGGGTGTCAGTCAGTGATAACCCAGTCGGGATGGGGCATAGGGCCCACCTTTCGGTTTTACGTCTTCGGAGTCTCCATCTTTCACAGGTGGGTGTCGGTGAAAGTGGTGTGTTCCTTAGTCACAGAACTGAAACCCTTGATGGCATTCATCAGGTCCTCTTCATCCACATACTGAAAAATAAGCCAATCATCATTGGTTAGGATGTTTGCTATCCCTTTGATATTTGCCATCGATTGATAGTGGTATCAATTTAATATAAAAAGTAATCAGTAAGTATTTTGTTAAAGGCTAATATCCTATGCTCAAAACTTTAAGGCATGGTTTGAGATTGTCCTGCCTCAAGTTTACCTTATTGTAAGGGTCACATGTTCACATGAACTATGGACTAATCCAAAATGTCCTTTGAGTGTTATTAAGGGCCATATTTTAACTTTCTAAACCTGTTTTCTCATCTCTAAAGTGAGGAGATTATATTTTTATATTTTATTTTATATTTATATTTACGGATGTTATACACACACACACACACGTATATACATTTATATACTTAAGATTTTGTTTGGGGTCACCTGGGTGGCTCAGGTCACAATCTCATGGCTTGTGAGTTTAAGTCCTGCTTCGGGCTCTGTGCTGCCTGGAGCCTGCTTCAGATTCTGTCTCCCTCTCTCCCTCTCTCTCTCTCTCTCAAAAATAAACAAACACAAAAAAGGGATTTGGTTCAAACTGTCAGCAGAAGAGAAAGAATACATGCTACTGTGCTTCCCTCTTTTACTGTATTTGGTATGTATTGAATAGGGCTCGTAATATTGTTTATAAGGTGATAATGAACAGATTATTTTCCAAGTTTTGCATCTTCAAAACCTTTCACTAAATTGATTTACATATTATCTATTGCTAGTACTGTCAAAAGCAAGCAAAACCGTCAATATAGTATAACAGTGAGGAATGGGGCTTCTATTATCAAATGATGGTTTTAAGATCCCAATTCCATCAAAAAAATCACTGTGTATACTTAGGTAAGGACACACATGGAACCAAGCCCTCTGTGTGTTATGTTCCCTGTAAACTTGTCCTTTTCCATGTCAAATATGATCAATTAACAATTCCTTTATTCCTGCCATTTAGAATCTTTAGATCTGGAATGGAATCGTGGAATTCGATAGTCATAACAATATGAAGCAGGCCCACAATTTTAAAGTGCACATTGTAAGGGCACCTGGGTGGCTCAGTTGGTTAAGTGTCCAACTTCGGCTCAGGTCATGATCTCACAGTGTGTGGGTTCGAGCCCCACGTCAGGCTCTCTGCTGAAAGCTTGCTCCGAGCCTGGAGTCCCCTTCTGTGTCCCCTTCTCTCTCTGCCCCTCCCCTGCTCATGCTCTATCTCACTCTGTCTCTCAAAAATAAATAAATGTAAAAAAAAATTTTTTTTAAATAAAATAAAATGCACATTGTAGATCACTGTCCTGAACAAGCCAAGACTGCATTTTTTCATTGTGATTAGAACCTGGAGCCAGGAAACTTGCTTTTTTACTTGCCATTAGTTAAGAAAATCTTCATGGAAGTCCTCAACTTTTCAGCAAAGGTGAGTACTTAGATGAGTGGAAGACTGTAAAGGCCGAAGTAGACAGCTGGAAGACATGGAGGTGAATCATTCTGCCCCAAAAGAGTAAGCAGAGTCCCTGAGTTCCTAGCTGGCTATCATTCCTAGCGAACTATCCCAAAGGAATAGTTCTGCAGCAGACGTCTAGGTAGTTGGCATAATGCAGAAGGTTGATGGTTGGTAAAAACCATAGGATTCTATCCATTTCAGCCTCTAGGGACTTATAACAACTATTAGATATTAATAAGGTTAACTTTCAATGAGTAAATTATTTGTATCCACTGGACTGAAATTATGAAGTTGAAGTTCACAAACAGTAATACCTTTATTTATCATGATTTTCTGAGTTTTTTGGAAAAGAACCACTGAACCTATTGAAAGACTTTCTCCTCTAACCATAAACCAGAAAGAAAAAGGTGATGCACTTTTTAAAAGTTTTTTCTTATAGACTAGTTCCAATGTTCCCAGTCGTCTTTTGCCCAAATTAATAGAGTATAGCCTGTTTGTCTCTCCAACTACTCAATGAATTTTTTTTAAGCATTTGATGTTTGCAAAAAGAACAAGACAAAGTTTCTACCTGGCTCATCAAACAACTTAGTAACACTAGTAAGTAGGTCATTACAAAATACTTGGGTAAATAAATGGTCAGAGGGATGCAGAGTGCGGGGAGGCAGCATTCAATGAGGCCAGAAATCTCCATGCCACCCCTTTGCCAATATGCTTCTGGGGGGTGATCTACGGCTCTGGATAAGGAAATCCACTCACCAGCCCACTGTCGTGGCCCATGATGGTTTCCCACAGCGAGTCATCAGTCAAGACTTTCTTGTCCTGAACATCCATGAGTTGGCTGACACTGCGGTGGAGGGGGCCTTGGGAATAGGTTTGGCTTACTTGGCTCTGACTTGGGATCCGAAGGACTGATATGCTGCGGTTGCTCCTGATACTGACGGGTGTCCCAGCCCGGGGAATTTTGGTATCAGCTAATCCCTGAAAAGAAAGTTGCTGTTCGCGATTACTGTCCAAAAAAAAAAAAAAATGGACTTGAAATAGGACAGAAAATTGTGTGTCACACATTATCAATGAAGGGAGCACTCCATATCCTCCTACAGAACAGCTTATCTGGAATGCCACGGCCCCTGGCTTTTTGGTAGGGGTGAGGTGATAAACTAATAGCGGTGCTAAACACCAGTGTTCTTAGCGCTTCCAGAATATATGCACTAGCGCTTTGGCTCTTGTTCCCTGTAGACAAGGGCTTACTGCCTTGCAAAGTGGTGGGGTGAAGGTGATAGCGGCTGGGTTAACAAAGTGATCCCTTCACAAGTGTCACCACAGAGCCTGTGCCTTGAGATCACTGCTTTTCCCAGACCAAAGTTGACAATGGTCTCTCATGGTTGCCAGCTGAGCATGGTTGGATTATATTTTAAAATCTCTGGGTTTGTGTAGGAACATGGGCTCTTCCCACCCTCTCTTCTCATTCATGTTGTTCTCTTCATTATAAGATTCAGCCTTGAAAATAAATCGGGCCTGTGGGGTGCCTGGGTGGCTCAGTGAGTTAAGTATCCAATTTCAGCTAATATCATAGTCTCATGGTTTGTGAGGTAGAGCCTTGCATCAGGGTCTCTGCAGTCAGCCAGAGCCCACTTTGGATCCTCTGTCCCCCTTCTTTCTGCCCCTCCCCTACTATCTCTCTTTTTCTCTCTAAAAAATAAACATTAAAAAAATTAATAATTAATAAATCACAGGGCACCTGGGTGGCTCAGTTGGTTAAGTGTCTGACTTAGGCTCAGGTCATGACTTCTATGCTGACAGCTCAGAGCCTGGAGCCTACTTCAGATTCTATGTCTCCTTCTCTCTCTGCCCCTTCCCCACTTGTCCCCTTCCTCTCTCTCAAAAGTAAGTAAAGAAAGAAATAAAAATATTCTTTAAAAAATTAATAAATCATGTATGGAATTAACATCAGAAAGACAAAGGCACTATATGATTAGAACCTAGAATGTGCCATAAGAAAATCTAGGAGCTCTACATGTACCCCAATGTTCATATCAGCACTCTCCACAATAGCTAAAACATGGAAAGAGCCTAAGTGTCCATCAATGGATGAATGGATCAAGAAGATGTGGTTTATCTATACCATGGAATACTACATGGCAATGAGAAACAATGAAATCTGGCCATGTGTAGCAACATGGATGGACCTTGAGGATGTTATGCTGAGCGAAATAAATCAGGCAGAGAAGGACAAATATCATGTTTGCACGTATAGGAGGATTAGGAGGAACTTAACTGAGGAACAAAGGGGAGAAGAAGGGGGTAATTGTTGGTTAAAGGGAGTGAGGCAAACCATGAGAGACTCTTGAATGCTGACAAAAACTGAGGACTGATGGATGTGGGGGGGGAGGGGGGTGGGCATGGAGGAGGACACTTGTGGGGATGAGCACTGGGTGTTATGTGGAAACTAATTTGACAATAAACTATTTGTAAAAAAAAAAAAAGAGAGAGAAAATCTAAGTGCTCTAAATATCTGAGGTTTGATTTAGCTGTTCCAATCAATGAAATGTTCCTACTTTTCATCGTGTAGACAACACATCATGCAAAAAAAAGATCATGCATTCATGCAACACATGAAGTACCTCCAAGTGCATGGTGTAACTTTTTAGGGTAACATTGCTTGACACATCAGATATATCAGCCACTGAATCAAACTGAGAACAAATGGGGAGGCATTAGTCAGTGTTTAGAACAAACAAAATTACAATAAAACAAATCCTTTGTGTTTGTCCAACAATAATATAATCATACAATCGTTTTGAGATGCATCTCAGGCTTTGTGTGTGTGTGTGTGTGTGTGTGTGTGTGTGTGTGTGTATTTCTGCAATTAAAATTGCATGGTGAGTGGAACGTAATGGCTTAGTATTTAAAGTGAGTTCTACTGGCATGATTTGTTTAGTGTTGTAGAGCTGAGAGGATCTTTAGGCAAGTAAGTAAATTATAAGTCTAACTTGCACTTAAACTTTGCTACACTTTATGCTGCGTGATCTTGAAAATGTTAACGAATTGTAAAAGCCTCTCTCATTCCCTGGTGTCTCTGCCCCAGTTTCCTCTGTGAATTCAGATTGGAGCCTAAAATCCTTTGCCAGTTTATGTCTGGTGTCAAAGGGTTTCTTACCTATTCAGAGGACAGGAGTGCCTGGGATAGAAGCTCATCGTGTGTGTGTGTGTGTGTGTGTGTGTGTGTGTGTGTGTGTGTGTGCGCGCGCGCGCGCATGTGGGCATGTGTTGCAGGGGTAGCTCTCATTGACCTCCCAAGTGTAAAAGTCAATCTGAGGCCCTGAGCAGTTGACTCCAGCGTGATCCTGTTCAGAATCTTACCCATTTATTCTGGGATCCATGCATCACAATAACAGATCTTTATTTTGTTCTAATAATGCAAAGTAGCCTCTCTTTAGTTTGGTTCCCCGTCACTGATAATCTTCTATGTCCCCAACTTTGTGACAACAGCTTATGTTCAAAAATGTTTTCTAAAAGCAACAGTAGGAGGCCGGCAAGGCCATGTTATTCCCTGGGTGGGATTCACTTAGGATTCAGTGGGTTCTGGGAACACTGCCCAGGGCCCCGGGGACTCTCCAGATCCCCCCTGCTAACCTTCTGGGACCAGTGACTAATACCCTCAAAGCTGAAGATGAGCCAGTGTGGGGGCCCAGAGCCTCGGGCAGCCAGCCAGACCCCCCACCCCTTCCCTTCCTCCCATCCCATTTGGCCACCCAGCAAAAGCTAACCAATTTGGAGCCACCCTGCTTTCCCTTGATGGTAAGGGGTACATGGGAGTAAGGTGTTTCAACTCTTTTGTCTGCCTGTCCCAGTTGACGTCTGTCTGGCCTCAGAAGCAGCTTGGGTTTGGTTTGGCAGGAACTGTAAGGGCTAATCAGCAGCCTTTACCTGTTTTTTGTTTTGTTTTGTTCTGTTTTGTTTCTTATTGTGGTAAGGACACTGACATGAGATCTACTCTCTTAACAGACTGAGTGACAGCACAGCACTGTTACCAGGCACAATGTTATACAGCAGATCTCCAGACCTTCTTCGTCTTGCATGATTGACATTTTATGCCTGTTGATTAGCAGCTCACCATTTCCCCTTCCCCTAGCCTGGCAGCCACTCTATCTTGCTTCCATGAATTTGATGATTTTAGATACCTCATCTAAGAGGAATCATGCAATCCCCCAACCTGTTTTTATCGGTTATAAGACTATACCTACTGCTTATGGGAATTGTATTATATTATTACATTTTAAACTCAGTTATGACTATTCTCCGACTTTATCGTGCACCAGCTTCCTGAGTGCTAGTTGGAATGGCAGAGTCTTTGGTTTCTTCCACAGGAGATTCAGGTCCTGCTCCTATGTGATGCTGATACTGATAGTTCCTGGGCCTCACTTTGACAGAACAAAGCTTGCCGAGACTCATGACAACCATGAACAGTGGTACCATCCAAAGTAGCTTCCATTTGGAATGATGTGATTGCTTCCTGACCCCTCAGTTAGCCAACTGGGCAAAACTGGATTCCTCCTCAGCAAGGATTATGAGGCAGTGACACCTGCCTGTAGGGTTTGAGTCAAGAGACAGGAGATTGGATCACTGAAATGAGTTACAGATGCTAGTGGTATTTGGGTAGCTTTTCCCGGAAGGACACTTCATGTTACGGAGTAGATGTCCCCAGCAGAGCTCTGGAATTTTCCTTCCATGTTCTCCATGCACTCTATATACCCCAGGGTTGACTCAGCTGATGTCCCCAAGCCAGATATGTCTCAGGCCTTGTTGGCCCTTCCATGCACTTCTGAATTCCAGACATGGGGGATGTCTTCTGTCTAAGAACGTGGCTTCCAAGGGGCACCTCAGTGGCTCAGTCAGTTAAGCATCTGACTTTGTCTCAGGTTATGATCTCATGGCTCGTGAGTCTGACCCCCATGTTGGGGCTGACAGTTCAGAGCCTGGAGCCTGCTTCGGATTCTGTGTCTCCCTCTCCCTCTCTCTGCCCCTGCCCCGCTTGCAGTCTGCCTCTTTTTCTCTCTCAAAAATAAATAAACATTAAAAAATAAAAAAAAGAAGAACACAGCTTCCTCAGAGAGAGAAAGTTACTACTCTTCAACAAGGAAAAACTTCACAGTATCTGCTCTTCAGTGAGAGTCTTTTGATGAGTATACATTGAACACAAGCAAATGACTGATGGTTTGAATTGGCCACTCCACGTTCATTCATTTCACAAACATTTGATGCCAGGCACTGTTCTGGGTGTCAAAGTGCAGCAGTAAGTGGCCCACGAAACCCCCCTCCCCTTGGGGAGCCTACATTCTATTTGATGAGTCAGACAAGCATATCTGCCGTGATGTCATGCAGTGATGGTGCTCTGGAAAAGCTAGAGAATTCTATTTCACACAGAAGAGGTGGTGACATCTCTGCAGGGACCTGAGTGAAGTGAGTGTGTGAGCCATTCAAAAGGAGAGCAGGGGCTTGATGTGCTCAGGGAGGAAGGAGGCTGGAAGGCCAAGAGCAAGGAGAGGGGATGACGTGTAGCTGGTGAGAGCTGAGGCCTGAACTATGGGAGGCATCATCTCCACTTCTCCACCACCAAGTCCCTGTCCCCTGGCTGTTCCTGGCTCCACACACAAACCATGGGCCTCAGAGGGATGACTGCCCCTCTGTGCCCCCCATTTTCACCACTTGGGCATCATGTTACATCTTTGTCAGTGCCTTAACCACTGTTTATTGTTGTGTCCTGGACAGATGAAGAGATGTGGATGGGACACAATGCTATTGGGTTGACTCTTCTCTAATTTTTGAAGTGTTAGAACTCAACAAGTTTGACTAGGCTTCTGTGCTTAATTTGGTGCTGCTGTGATACTGTGATTTATAATAAATATATATTTGACCTTCAGCCCAATATCTGGCACAAGACTACTGAAACCCTTGGAATTTCTTAAGAGATGAGAGCCACAAAGGTGTCTTTTGTTATGCTAATGAGGCGATTTTCTGGAGGAACTACCTAAAGATGGGGGCTGGTTATCAGCAGCCCCAATCCATGATTAGAGTGTGAAAATTTCAGTCCCCCCTCAACCTCCCCTCATCCCCCACCTCTAAGGAGGGTAGAGAGACTGGAGGTTGAGTCAGTAGCCAATGACCAGTAATTTAGTTAATCAAGGCTAAGTGATAAAGCCTCAATTACATCCCGCCCTATGCATCTCTTCCATCTGACTGTTTCTGAGTTTTCTTCTTTTATAATAAACTGAGTTTCCAGTAAGCAAAATGTTTCTCTGAGTTCTGTGAGTCATTCTAGCAAATTAACTGAATCCAAGGAGAGGTCACTAGAAACCCCAATCTGTAGGGGCACCTGGGTGGCTCAGTCGGTTAAGCATCCTACTTTGGCTCAGGTCATGATCTCACAGTTCATGGGTTCGAGCCCACATCGGGCTCTGTGCTGACAGCTCAGAGCCTGGAGCCTGTTTCAGATTCTGTGTGTGTCTCTCTCTGACCCTCCCCTGCTCTCTCTCTCTCTCTCCTTCATTCCCTCTCTCTCTCTCTCTCTCTCTCTCTCTCAGAAATAAATAAAACATTAAGAAAAAAAAGAAAGAAACTCCAATCTGTAGCTGGTCTGTCAGAAGCCTGAGTAACAACCTGGACTTGGGATCCAGTGTCTGCAGTTGTGGGGAGGGGACCATCCTGTGGAACTGAACCTTAACTCATGAAATCTGATGCCATCTCTCTGTAGAGAGTATCAGAACTGAGTTGAATTGTAGGGCACCCACCACGTGTCAGAGAGTTGCTTGCTGTGAAAAAACTCCCCCCACACTGGAACTGCTAATCAGAGTTTTAGCTGTACAGAGTGGCTACTAGTCCATATAGAACTTTTGTGCCAACTGGCAAAAAGGTGACATCTCAGGCAGATGCAGCCCTCTGGGCACATGGCTTGGAAAAAAGACTGGTGCCTGGTGGGAATTAGAATTTTCAGCCTTTCCTCTTCCAAGTAGACATGGCCTCACACCACAGAGGGCACCTTCGCAGTCACCATTTCCCCTTCAATGAGTGCTCTGGGCCACGATCTCCCTGCACCGCCGTATATGTGACCTCACCACCTAGACCTTTGCGTGACCTCCTATCTTGGGACTGGGTGGTCACCAGCTATGAGGAGCCACCCATCCTCAGTGGCCTGGAGTGTCACAGCCAGGGGACAAACTGACCACCACTTGCACTTTACTCTCTCCCTAGACCTCTTATTTATTGCTAATCCCTCCAAGTTGCACAATTATATAATCTGTAAGTTCCTCTAGTGATTTCAACATACAGCTCTTCTCCACCATCCTCTGATGGACGGTGTTAGAGCAGAAAAATTCATCCCTGGTTACACCTTAGAATCACTTTTGGAGTTAAAACAAGAGAATACCAATCCCCAGGCCCACCCAAAAGTGATGAAATCAGAGTTTCTGGGATAAGACACAGGCAATGGCATTTTTAAAAGCTTCCCAGGTGTCTTCATCCACTTGGGCTGCTTGACTAGAATCTCATAGACTGGGTGGCTTCTAAACAACAGAAATTATTTCTCAAGTTCTGGAGGCTGGGAAGTCCAAGGTCAAGATGCTAGTAAATTGAATGTCTGTCAGGTGCCTGTTTTCTGGTTCACAGCTGGGGGTCTTGTCTTCTTGCTGTGTCCTCACATGGAGGAAGGGACAAGAAAGCTCTGGGGGCCTCTTTTATAAGGTCACTATTAGCCTCCCGTGGTTCCCATATTTTGTCAAACATTACTGTCATCTAGTCCCTTGTTATTATGACTCTGGAGACATTTCCTTCTACAGAAGTGCAAGCGTTCCAGTGCGGGAGAGGGAATGGGGGCCCGCCTTCAGAGACATACCACATGCGTTTCCCCCGGTGGATAGACACTCAGTGGAGACATTCTCTTCTGAAGAGGTACTAGGGGAGGTCTCTCTCTGATATATGGTTCTTTGCGGATTTTTCTTTGTAGTATCAGAGACAGAAAAATGGCCAACAAGATCAAGCCCAGCATTGCTATTAACACGATGAACCATAGCTGGCTGTAGAACTCTGTGTTCTTCCTCCCCGATCCGCTCTTTTCTCCAGGAGGTGACAGAACCAGGCCTGCAAAACCCAGGGCAGGAAAGGGAGGTGTTATTTCAGAAGGCAAGTTTGTGACCCCTCGCCCTGTTGTTTGGTAGTAAATTGGAAAGGAGTTTAGAGCAGTTTGTCTCATGGTGCTTGTTTGTACTCGTGTTCCGGCCACCGAAACGGTGCCGGGCGCCTTCAAGGGGAGCTTACAGCCCCCAGGAGACCTCGCTGCCGGGCCTCAGGATGGAAATCACCACTGCCTTTGCAAGCTTCCTGGGAAAGATGAGGAGGAGGAGGGGACTTTTAAAGGCGGTAACCAAGTAACCTTGAGGAATGCTTGTTTCACTGTCCTGTGTCTTGAGTGGAGTTTTTTCTTGGGTGATAGATGCTGGGGAGGGCCAGGCTGACCAGCATTGCTGCAGAGACCCTCTGGGACACACGGTCTGTGCTGAGGAGATCCGGGGTCCCCTCCCTTCATGCAACTGCCTTGATCCCGAGAAGTTCTGTGCAAACCGGATTTGAGACATTAGATCCTATTTTCTATTGTGATGTAAACAGCCTGTGCTTCCCAACATGTTGTCTTTATATTTCTGGTACCCTGGCCTCTCTGTGACGTGGCCAAAGTTCTGCAAATCATCACTCAAGTGCTTCCTATGGAAAGAAATCCTTTGCAATAGGACCACTCATGCTTGACTTCTATGTACGTGGTGACAGGTCATGCATGCAATTCTCTGCACACGAGGCTAATCACAGTGGCTCATGTTTACGGAGAATTCATCTGCCCTGTGCCTTATAGGGGTGAGGGATGGGGAATCCCACCACTATCAAGACTTAGGGTGTGGGGGGAGCTGGGAAGAGCTGGGGCGGACAAGAGAAAGGCTTATGGGGGATGCCACAGGGCTGCATGCAGCAGTGAGATCAAGCCGACTGAGCAGCACCAGGTGATCTCCAGAGGTCATCTCCAGAGGGCTGAACACTCCTGGCAGAAAGGAGGAGGATTTAGGACAAAAGCTGGGAAGAAGCGTATTTTGTTTTGCAGAATGAACAGTTCTGCAGGAACAGCCCAGGAACAAACAGCCCAGGAAACAGCCAACTAGATGTTTCGCCTGAGAGCCTCTCGCTATGTGCTGACAGCCCCTTACATGAGCCACTCTGAGCAGGACTGGATGAGGACCTAGGCAAGAAGCCCCGAGTCTTCTCGAAGTTCTTTAGCTCATTATAACCCTAAGTTCTCATCCTATGGGTGGAGTTTTCTGCCAGTTTTTGAACACACGATATTTGCCCTAGCATGTTGCTGTGGTAAGCATGTACAGATGAAACAAAAATGTTTCTGTGAGCTCCCTTCCCCCCACCTTAATATACTCAATAAAAGCTTCCTATACTAACCCCATGGAGAGACAGAGTGATCTCCCTGTCTCCTTACTTGTAACAAAAAATTAAAAAAGAAAATTCTTCTATTTCAACCTTTCCTCTGGTTGTGTTCAGTTTGATGCAGCCCAAGCAGCGAAACCTTGAGTTGGGCCCCAGGCCGGCCCAGGAGTCTGGGCACCCATGCAGTGGGCGTGCAGGCTGGTGTGCGGCTGGGAGCCAGGGAGCAGCTCTTCCAAAGCACAGGCTCGCGGCCAAGAGGAAGATGTGCAAACAGACACGTTTGCTAGTGTCTCTTCACTCCTTGGACAAACTCCCCCTTCCCACAACCTCAAGGACTGGGTGGGCTTGTGGGACACTTCAAACTCACATTTTCAGTGGAAGGGAAGGGGAGGGCTTCAGAATTGCAGTAGGAGAGTTTAAGAGAGGGAGAGAAGGTGACTAAGACTACATTTCAAACTCTGTAAGAGGAACAATCCTACTTTGCTAACCCTAACTCGACTTCTCATAGTTCTGTGGTGAATGTCACTCTGCCTTTCTGGGCCTCTGCTTCTCCATCTCTAAAATGAAGGGTTGGAGTCAAAGCTCTGCCAAATTCCAGCAGACAGGAATCCCTCTAATTAGGAATTATTTGAATAAAGAAAACAAAACAAGAAAAAAACCTCAATAAAACAAAAAAGAACCTTGGTTATCAATGGAAGAGTTGAATTTCCTCTGTGTGGCACAGGGCTGTAACTCCAGATACTGATCTGATGGGCCCAGTGGACCCCTTGCTTGGGGGGACACAAGGGAATGTAGGGCAGCCTGCCTAAGGGAAGCCTCAAAAAGAAAACAGCCCTCAGATCAGGAGGAGGGAAATGAGGATTGTGAGACTTTCAGGCTTTAAGGCTGCCTCAGGCAAGGGAACAGGAACATTTTAAAAGTTACATCATAAAATTAAAACTGACTATGGAAATTAGATGGACAATATATCTTGGAATTTTCCATATCTTCTCATGTCCTCAGTGTCCCTTCTCTCATCAATGGAAACCTCACTTTGTATTCAGGAACGGAATACAGGTTTCCCCTCTTTTGTGGAGAGCTTACGATCAGGTAAAATCAGGACAATGAGGAAGGGAATGCCAGTGGACTTCAAGAAAAACCCCAACCCAGAACTACTGTCAGAGGACATTCCTCCCGTGGGAAGATACTTCCCACTGATCTAGGAGACCAGCCTGGCTGGATTTGGAGGTGGACCAATCTCGGTTATATGGCTTCTACTCAAGTTGTGATCCTAGTCCTTTCTACCAGATTCATTGGACGGGGCTTGTTTATTTTTATTTATTTAAAATTTTTCAAACCTGAATGCAGTTGACACACAATGTTATGGGCAGGGCTTGTTCAAAGAGCGGAGTCCAGGGCCCTGTTGCTTTTGAGTCTCTGCTGTGGGCCTGGGAAACTATATAATAAACAAGTGCGCTGAGATGACTTGTGTGCACACTTAAATTTGAGAACCACTGCTAAGGAAAAAGGATGGGGTCAGGAGTCAACAGAAAAACCACGTTAAAATTTTCATCTTAGCCAGGATCTTGCGGGGCTTTCATGGGTGAGTTCTTGGTGTCCCTTAGGCCTCCACTGGTCCACTCCATTTGTGGACACACCGGAGTTGCTAAAAGAATACCAAATGAAGCCTGCTCCATCCACGGCTGCTGTGAGATGAAATGAGATGGACTGTGTGGAAGGGACTGTTAGGTGTTGTAAAAAATTTTACATGGTGTCCAGACATGTGAAGTCTGGAAATAGAGAATCGTATTTTTTTTTTCTTTTTTAGTGCTTGAAATTATCCTTGATAACAATATATATGTTTACTTGAGTTTCAGAATTTTTGGACATTTGTATTTTAGGAAAACCTAACTATGCATGCATACCAATTTAATATAACATTAGTTACTGGAATTTAAAATAGGGTATCGGTCCCAATTCTGTTCAAATGGAAAAGATCTGGCATTTCTCTAACTCGCCCTTTGAAATTATAAAGTATTATATATGTTATATTCAAAGGTTTTGGGTAGAACTCAATTTAAAAGATGCTCCATGAAAATGGCAATTTCATCTTTTCAGGTAAATTACTTGGTAATGGCAATCAATCACCATCTTTTAAAGAGAATGCAAGAGAAAAATCTCCAAAATTCACCATTTTAGGCTCTGAATCTACAGAATTATCACTATGATTAACACAAATTGGCATTAGACTATTTTCTCTCTTCCTCTGATCTCTTTTCTCTGATTTCCTTTATAAATCACTTTTTAAAAAAAATAATCAAAGTTGTATAGCTCTTTATTGAGAGGATTTGTGGCAAGGAGAGAATTTAGTCATACCTCTGTGTCTACAATTCAATGACTTGGTATATTTAAAAATTTTTTTAAACTATTTATTTGTAAGAGAGACAGACAGAGTGTGAGTCCGGCAAGGGCAGAGAGGGAGATACAGAATCCAAAGCAGGCTCCCGCCTCCAAGCTGTCAGCACAGAGCTGAATGCAGGGCTTAAACTCACAAACCGTGAGATCGTGACCTGAGCCGAAGTTAGACGCTCAACTGACTAAGCCACTCAGGTGCCCCTGACATGGTATTGTAAGAGTACTGTATACCCAGAGCAGCTGGGTGGCTCAGTCGGTTGGGCATCTGAGTTTCGCGCAGGTCATGCATGATCTCACAGTTCATGAGTTCAAGCCCCATATCAAGCTCTGAGCTGACAGTGTGGGGCCTCCTTGAGACTCTCTCTCCCTCTCTCTCTACCCCTTCGCACACTCTCTCTCTCAAAAATAAGTAAAAATTTGAAGAAAAAATTTAAAAAAGAATACTATATACCCTAACTTATTACTTAATGTAATTTCCATGAGAACTTAAAAAAAACTGTCTTGTAACAGTTCCTTCCATACAGTCTATGAACACATTAGCACAAAGGTGTATAAACAAACATATGTTTCTCTCTTTCCCAAAATGAATGAGTTTTATATTAAATATAATGCGTTAAATGTTTACCAAATCCGGTGGAGGTATCATATTGGACCAAAGGTGACTTAACACTTCCTTCATCTGTAGTGCAGATGACCTGGAAAGAGAAAGCTAGAGAAAAGGTACAAGACTTAGTCATTCAACACCTAGACATAGTGGGCAGACTTTTAGAAGAGCAATATATCATAGCATGGGAAAGTCTGAGAACAGGTTTCCAGCACAAGTTGTGAGGTTTTATCTTATATACACACTTATTTCTAATTTTCAAATTACCAAGAAAAATAGCTATAATTAGTGTAATAATAGTATATATTTACAAGTAACAGAACTGAAGAAGAAGTTTAGAGTTTATATCGCAAAAAAAAAAAAAAAAAAAGAATGATCAGAAGAGTAAAGAATATAACACAGTGTATCTTATTCTGCATATGGTCTAAACCTATTCCGGTAAAACTCAAAGGTGCACTTCACACTATGTGATCCAAAGTTTCTTTCTAAGCAGAAGAGCCTCAAAAGGATCTTGGAAATCGAATGGTCTAAATACTTCTCTCAGTAGCCAGCATCCTGAGGGAATCAGCTCTTATAGAGCCACCCAGGTGGTTGGGTAGAGGCTCGCCCAGAAGTAGAACCCAGATCTCCCAAGTATGGGAGATCATCCGCTCATCACAACGGCTGCCTAGGTGACTGAGAAATGTGACCAGGAGAATGTGTAGCTGGATTATAAAAATGTTTTGGATAAGCTTCAGGTGACAAATGCAATCCTAGATCTCATTATGTATCTGTACCTTTTAACCAACAAAAATAATATTTTCAAGGACATTTAAAAAACCAAAAAGCCCATTAATGAATTCATTGCAGAAATCCAGAGTGATTTAAATGGCTTCACATCTATTTGTCCTGTGGTCATGTTGATCATGAGAAAATACTTAGTACCTTGAAAGCCTTTTCTCATTTCAGTTTAAAAACCAAACAAGAGAAGAGCATGTAATTAAACAGGCAGAAAGAGTTTGGTTTTCGAAGGAAAAGGGTTGTTGTTGAGAAATGGATACTAAGGATGGTTGAGGAAAGCCCTCACTCATGGTCTAAGAGTTGGAGATGGTCATTGCCTGATCAGTCTCTATTTGTAGGCTGAGGATGTATCACGAAAAATCTCGAAGTCCCTGAAATTGTATTATTTCAGGAAACCCAGTGACTACCTGTGGGTGCTATTTGTCTTGTGGACACAGCCTGCCCTGTAGTCTTGTTTTTCATGGGGACACTCACATCACATAAAGACAGTGCTTGCCTTCCGACTGCATCATAATGGGAACACATAGCAGACAACGGGAAGGGAAATTTTATTTACTCAGAGCTGCAACATGTCCACAAGAAGTGGCCACTTCCACCCAGACATTTTAATGAGGAGCACTTGCTGGTCACCTTTCAGACCGAATATCTCATAAAGCTGGGACACAGAGTTCCCGACACTATGAAATAGGAGTCGGAAACTAACTTTTGTCCGCCGTCCTTGGTATGTAGAGGGTGGTGTCAAAGCCACTGTATACACGCTGGCCTCCATCGGTCACCACGAACTCCTTCAGTGGGCCATTCAGAAGGAAGGAGCCACTCCAGTCTATATGCACCAGAGACAAATTGCTGTCCACCAAAAATGGGGCTCTGTATTGGGGCACTGTTGGAAGAAAGTTGTACATTTTAAAAATGGTAACTTCAGAGGTTGGCCCCTGGGTGGCTCAGTTGGTTAAGCGTCTGACTCTTGGCTTCAGCTCAGGTCATGATCTCATGGTTCATGAGTTCAAGAAAGCCCTGCATTGGGCTCTGTGCTGATAGCAGAGCCTGCTTGGGATTCTCCCTTTCTCCTGCACTCTCTCTCGACCTCTCTCTCAAATAAACAAACTTAAAAATGTAAAAATGGTTGTCTCAGAGTGTGTGTGTATCTTTTTTTAAAATTTTCCTTTTTTAAGTAATCTCTATACCCAGCGTGGGGCTCAAACTTACTCCTCCAAGATCAAGAGTCACCTGCTCTACTGACTGAGCTGGCCTGTATATATATGTGTGTGTGTGTATATATATATATATATCACCTTATATAACACATTATATATATATATATATATATATATATAATACAACACCTCCCTCAAATTGGCATTGCTGAAACCCTTCATATTTTCCTCAGTGTTTTAAAATAACCCTGGCATTGGGGGTGAAAAGAAAACCAATGGGAACAGGTATGAAATGCTTTCTCAGCAACATTGCATCTGCTTTCCAAAAAAAAAATCAATGAAAAGCAGTGTTTTATGAAATAAAACTATTAACATACAATGGCTGCGCTTACCGACATAACCCTGGAGCTCATATTTTGTTGTATTTTCCTTCTTTTAACGGCTGAAGTATCCTTAACACTATTAACTACAGTAGATTGCTATTTTTCATATCAAATCAATATTTATTGCTACAAAGCCCCAAGGACTAGATGAAGTTAATATATTTTTTTTCCTCCAAACTAAACTGCTTAGATGGTGAATTATGTCCTTTTGGCACCCATTTATTTTTAAAGCTTTTTCTTGAACCGTTAGTTTATTTTCTAAGATAGTTAAAAAGCCTTGCAAACAGCAATTCGAGTATAATAATTCATTGCCCTGACTAATCAATCAATAGCATAGTACATTAGTATATAATCAAGTTTAGGTCTCCTAAGTATTATATCAGATATAGAAGCAACTTGGTGTGCATTTTACAGGCATGTTCTTTTTTTCATTTTTCAGCTCCTTCCTAAAATAAAGGAAGAACAATCCTTAACTGAGCCTCATCTTTTAAATGAATAATTTTAGCAGAAACAAATGAAGGGTTACCATATCATCTTGTCAAGTCAGAAGAGATTTATTTCATGAGATCTCGTTTTCTCCAAAATAATCAATACATTTGTAACAGCATTAAGATCCATCTATATACTAAATTGGCTTTTAAGAAAAGAAAAAAAGTGAGTGGTGGAAATAAATTGGATATCCTTTTTTCTATAGAAATTAAACCCATCTGTTGCTGATGTTAGGACATATAACAAAATAAGGAATAATTATAATTTTGTGATCACAAGATTTAACCACAAAGACAACTTTGATTCTTATCTTTCAAAGCAAGACCTTTTCATAAAGCCATAAGAAACTATTTCTGCAAATACCAAAACAAGAGCTATCAACCCTTCTTTTATTTTATTTTGATTTTTTAAAACTTACTTATCTGTTTTTGAAGGAGAGTGCGCATGCACATACACAAACACATAAACACACACATGGGAGACGGAAAGACAGACAGCAAGGAGGACAGAGAATCCCAAGCAGGCTCCATGCTGTCAGTGCAGAGCCCACTGGAGGGCTCGATCCTATGAACTTTGAGATCTTGACCTGAGCCCAAAATAAGAGCCGGATGTTCAACTGACTGAGCCACCCAGGTGCCCTTCAAGCCCTCTTTTAATGTCTGTTTTTCCAATACAAATGTTGCCTAATATCACAATGGAATATAGTGTTGTATTTATCGGTGGCTTCCCTCTGTCACTTAATTCAGAAGATTTCTACATCTCCTCTCCATTACAACAAGCACAGATAAAGACGAGGTTTGTAAATAGTATAAAAATAGAAAGATAGGAGCTTTGATGAAGGAGTGATTGAAGGTCAAAATAACCAAGAATAATGGATTTGGAGACAGAAAATGGGAACAGTCACTATGCCCCTGGCACTTGATGTGTTTTATCTCAGTTAGTCTTCAAAATGATCTTGTAAGAGTTAGTTCCTAATTTTTCAGGTGAGGAAACTCAGGTTCAGAGAAGCCAAATGACTTGGTTAATGTCAGTGGTTGGTAGGAGACCAAGGATCTGAACCCAGACCTGCTCACCCTAAAGTCCATGTTGCTTTGTTACAATCAATACACATTTACTCCAAGGAGCACAGTTTACGAATTGGGTTTATGGGTGCACTGTAGTGGTGGGTGGCTCATCCTGATTGATACATATTTAGGAATTTTGTAAGTATTAAATTTTATTTATTAAACTCAGCCATTATTAAAAAGTATACATGTAAACTGAAAATGATACTAAAACAAAGGTAATAAACACTCAACATAACTCCTTAATGATTTTGCTACATTGTATTATTATCTAGGCTCTTGAGGTGGTTTCCTTCTATTGTGTCTGGATGGTGGAAATATTACAGAGGAGGACAACACTAGTCACTCTTCCCAGATCTGTGTTCACTGGAAAATTGAAATCAGCCACGGTGGGAGTATTTACATCACGGAAATTGGCAAGCACTTCCAATCAGACATTTTTCTCTTAAGAAAGCCAGCAGTTAAACTATGTCTGACCTCGGTTCTTATGCTGAGGGTGTAGTTAAAGCAGAGGAGGCTGAATGCATTGTTAATACCTCTCCAGACCTATGTTTCTAAAAAATCACAAACAATATTTTAGAAGTACTTTGTGGTTTGTATTTCTGATCCATATTTTTTTCTTTTCTGATGTACATAATGAGTTAAAAGTAGCCTGAATGATGTTTGGAAACCCGTATGCTAGAGGTGCCTGGGTGGCTTAGTCGGTTAAGCATCAGACTCTTGGTTTCAGCTCAGGTCATGACCTCATGGTTCATGAGTTGGAGCCCCAAATTAGGCTCAAGTGCTGCTGGTTCAGAGCCTGCTTGAGATTCTCTCTTTTTCTCATTCCGCTCCTCCCCTTCTCTCTCTCTCTCGAAATACATAAATAAACATAAAAAAAAAAAGAAAACCCATATGATAGCCCATCATTTACTGTATTTTTCCATGTCTGTGGATCCAGTAAAGTGAATTAAGTGAGCCCTTTCTCCCTTTGTGTTACTCCAGTTTGGAGTTACTTCTTCAATGTAAAGAAAGAACAGAAAACAAGGAAATCTTTTCATTTACTTATTTTTTAATGTTTACTTATTGTATGTGTGTGAGAGAAAGAGCAAGCAGGGGAGGGGCAGAGAAGGAGGGAGACAGAGAATCCCAAGCAGGCTACATGTTGTCAGTGCAGAGCCTGATGCCGGTCCAAACTCACAAACCGTGAGATCATGACCCAAGCCAAAATCAAGAGTCAGACACAACCGACTGAGCCACTCAAGTGCCCGGAGAAAGGAAGGAAATCTTAAATCTGTTCACTTTGGGTTTTTTCCAGTGTAAGGATAAAAAAAATCTGGCAAAACTAAGCTTGATGACAAAAAGAAAATTGGTTATGAAAACTGCAAACTTCACAGAGCTGTTTTGGCCGGGCTTTCTGGCCAGTACACTCGTGCGCACACGCACGCGCATACACACACACACACACACACACACACCCCACACACACACACAACTGGCTTATGGATGTATTATGAAGGGGAACCGCTTCTCAAGGGTGGTGAATATGTCTTGTTCTTCTCCTTGTACAGAGTAGCATTCTTTATTAGTAGGTCAGAATTCCTCTTACTGTGACTTCCCGTCAGGCCTAAGTATTCCTCACGGTTTCTTTCAGTTTTGTGAAGGGAGAATAGTGAGAGGAACAGGCAGAAAGATGAAGGAGGTTGCACATTAGGAAAGAGGACTTCAACTACCTCCATGTTGACTTCAGTATGTACTTTCTAATGGATTAAATCCTTTCCAGCTTATCTCTTAACTCAGGCAAAAGGCGGGGCAGGCAAAGCACCCCGTGATCAGAAGGAAACCACCCCCTCAAGCAATAAGAGCCACCCAGAGCCAGTGAGACCCCGAGACCCCATGTGCCTCGTGTGACTGACTCCAAGACAATGGTCGACCTGACGTGTACTGCCCACCTGCGTGTCGCCACCGACCTTTGTCCCGCGTTTTCCTCACAGGAGCCTGGAAGTGTTTTCAGCACTTTGGAGACAGGCTTCGAATGCTTGGTGGCCTCACTGAAATAAATTCCTTTCCTGTGTCACCCCTCACACCTCTCTGCTTCCGGGTTGTGTCGGTGGCTAGTGGCCCCCTGCCCCGAGCTGGATGCTTTTGCACCCCTCCACCCCGATTACGGTTACACGGTAGATATTACTGAGCACCACTGCACTTTGGATTATGGAGCAAGTGACGAAGAATGCAGATTGTGTGGCACTGACAATAAACGTGAGAAGTTTTGGGTGCATTTCACTCACTCACTCATAGAACAACACCTGTTGGGTGTTCAGACCCACTGCCCAGGGCCGGAGTAATGTGGCACAAGTGAGGGCTGAAGGGTTGGAGGGAGCAGATTATGAGGAAAGATGCCAGCTGTGTCTGGGGCTGTTGCGTCTGGACTGAGGTGAGGAAGGGGGGTGTGGGTGTGGGGGGGCTGGGTTTCAAAGCCAAGGGCACAGGGGAGCAAGTGGCCTTCTGGGTGTCAGCCTTTGGAGCTGAAGCCTCTGAGGAGATGAACTCTCTCCCTGAGGAGGGAAGACGAGACGAGGGAAAGGTGGAGAGGAAAGTTTAGGACTGAGACTGAAAAAGACTTGGTTGGTGTAGGAGAAACCAAAAGACTGACTGACGCTGAATAGCCACAGAGGTAGAAGGGAGGCCAGAAGACACTCGTAGAAACTAGGGGGACTGTTTTTATTTTAAAAAAAATATTTATTTATAAACTGCAGTGTCATCACAGAGCCTGACATGGGGCTGGAACCCACAAGCCCCGAAATCGTGGCCTGACCAGAAACCAAGGGCCAGAGGCTTAACCGACTCCAAGCCACTCAGGAGCCCCAGGGGGACTGCTTTTTTTTTGTTTGTTTGTTTTTTATTTATTGCTGAGAGAGAGAGAGACAGCGTGAGCAGGGGAGGGTCGGAGAGAGAGGGGGACACAGAATCTGAAGCAGGGTCCAGGCTCCGAGCCGTCACCACAGAGCCCGATGCGGGGCTTGAACCCACGAGCTGTGAGATCATGAACTGAGCTGAAGTCGGACGCTTAACCGACTGAGCCACCCAGGCACCGGGACTGCTTTTTAATAAAGGACTGAGGGTTTCTGCCTTGAATGTTCCCGAGAAGCCACTGAGAGTGAGTGCTGCCGAAAAATACCCCCTGATGGTCACTGTGGAGGCCAAGGGCAAACCTAGGAAGAGATTTTCACGCAGGGACGAGGTGAAAAGCAGTCCGGAGGATGTTAAAGGGTAAGTGGGAAGAAGGAAAATGGGCAAAGCACACGGAAAGCATCCTTCAGACAAGTTTTGCTGTGAAGGGAGGAGTGTGGGAGGGGAAATGAGGGAGAGAAAGAACTGTGACTCTCATGTTTATATTTTACTTTGAGAGTGAGTGAGTGTGTGCAGGGGAGGGACAGAAAGATAGGGAGAGACAGAATCCCAAGCGGTTCAGCTTGGAGCCTGATGTGGGGCCCAAACTCACCACTATGAGATCATGACCTGAGCCAAAATCAAGAATCAAATACTCAACCGACTGAGCCACCCAGGCACTGGAGAAAAGTGTGCCTGTATCCAGGGTACACTGAAGATTGCAGAGAGGAGGAGGGTGCTCAGCAGGGAAGGGGGTGGGATTCAAAGCACAGGTGGTGGGATTATCCCAGGAAGAAGGACCAACCTTCCTTGTTGGAGACAGAAATGAAGTCAATTGCAGGTGGGTGGGAAGGGAGCAAATTACTGACCGGTGACTTCTCGGTTCCCGTGAGTGTGGAGGCAGGGAGTTCTGCAGAGAACATAGGGAGAGGCAGGTGACGACAGAAGGGGTGTGCAGTGGGTAAGCGCGGGAGGAGGTGGAAGGTTTGGGGAGGGTGGAGAGGGTCCAAAATCTTCATTAGAGAACAGGGTAACATAGTGGTACTGAGGGTGCCGCTCAGCAGGGTGATCACGAATTCAAAGGATACTTGCACTTTCTAGGGGTGGGAACTGGCAAGTGACTTCGGCTCTGACCTTAGCTTGGGGCCACATCATTGTACAGCCCCCAGAGCCTCAGTTCAGATTCCAGTCTTGTGAATGGCATTTTGGAATTGGCATTTGGAATCACAGTCCTGCTTCAGTTCCCTCTTCGGAAACTTTGGATAATAGCACATCCTTCGTCGGCTTCTTATGTTGATTATGTGTAACTAGGAACAAGCAAGTTCTAAGAGTGACCGGTTGCTAACATGTGCCATGTTGTCGCTCAGACACATTAAGTCCAGCGCCTTTCATGCTTATATAACTCTTACTTTAACAAACCCTGATGCCAAATCCTGAAAATGAGATTATAATTTGATGCAATGTGGCTGGAAAGCCAACCTGCAGGAAGAATCCAAAGACTGAAATATTTACATTCCTGATGTAGTAAATTCCATGCGTCAAAATTTAATTTGATGATAATTAGACATACGAAGATTGGTACGCAAAGAAATTTCTTATCATTTATAAGGAAAAATATTAGAACTCAAAGGCCCACATGATACGTATGATGGAAAACTATATAGCCAATCAACTTGGTAGTTAAGGTGTCTTTAATGTTATGGGAAATGCAAGTAAAATAATGTCAAGAATAAAAAGCAGACTATGGAATTTTCATTAGAATGTGATCTCAGACACATAATAGGAACTGCTCATGAGACAAAGATTAAAGAAATACCTTATGCTGAAATACTAATGTGGTTGCCTCTGAGTGGTGGGATTATGAGCAGGACTGGCTTTACGGGCACAGAGCTCTCACAGCCCCACAGTGCCCCTCACCCCTCATATAAAAGAATTAGGGACTTAGTTTGATGCTTCGCTGTCACTGTCTTGAAATGTTTAGTGATTTTTGAACAAGGGCCCTATACTTTCTCTTTCCACTGGGCTCTGCAAACGATGCATCTGGTTCTAACTATAAGTACTTATTTTATTCTTAATACTTTTGGTATTTTTCATTTTTTTAAAGTTTATTTACTTAAGGAATCTCTACACCTAACAAGGTGCTTGAACTCATGACCCCTGAAATCAAGAGTTGCCTGCTCTTCCGACTGAGCCAGCCAGCCGCCTGTTTTCCTATTTGTCATTTTTGAACAGTAGACACATATGCCTTATATGTTCCAAAAAGAAATCATATTATAGAAACGTAAGGAGGCCCCAATTAATTGGTTAATTGCCCTTCTGCTTTTCTTGACAGGCCATATCTCACTGCTCCCTGGAAATGCTTTCTGGATTATGCCACATAACTTGAAAAGAAAAAGAGTGGCAAACTAAGAAGCAAACAAATAAATATCAACCCCAATTTCCAGTTTGTCTATGTTCATCCTTGTTTGATTTCCTCTGAATTGGTTTTCACCCCATCGTTACATGAAAAATCTTCTTAAATTTGTACTTAATCTTCATGTTTTTCAATCCAATGGACATTTTCCCACCCAACAGACATCTTCATCGATGTCTCAGTGGTAAACAGTGCAACTCACTCAATCCTTTAAAAATGCCAGTTGCCCTACTTTTCGTCACAAGGCTCCTGCCTCTCCGGCTGATGGTGGCAATCACTTCTACTCACATTCTGTTTGGGTGACGAAGCTGATCCATTCAGAAGCTGTGCTGCCCACCTCATTGTGGGCCATCACCCTCAGCTTGTAGGTGGTGTAAGGCTGGAGGTCCCCAAGGCTGGCTGTCTGCTCCAGCCCCACATACTTTGTCTTTATTTGGCTGGGAGTGCACGGAGTGGCTAAATCCGGGGCGCAAGCCACGTAGAGTTGAAGCTCATAGCTAGAACGAGAGAGCAGGCAATCAGATTAGCTTAACTTTCGTTTAAAATGGGGTATCTTTTGTGAAGAGACATTTGGTTTTCGTGGCGCTACAAGCCCTTTCAGATTTCCATTTGTGGGAAACGGCTCTCCGAAACACTTTACTGAATGCTGTTGGAAGTGAGCAGCAGATGTAACCCGAGAAGTGACAAGAAAAGTCACATGTGTACACAGGTTGCTGTCCAGCCAGCAACTAGCAATCCTTGTTGGCAGAGATAAGAGATTTCTCTCTTTTCAGAGAAGAGCGATAAAAGTGCTCTCCTCTGTTGAAAATAAAGAATATATATATTTTTTCAAATAAATAAATAAATAAAAACCAAACAAACAGCACCTTTTGTTCCAGATTATTTTGAGTGAAATCTCTCTCTTTTTTTTTTTTAAAAACAGTGGTTCTTTACAGCATTTTAAATTAGATCAGGCAAATTCTGATTTAACCACAGAACTTTCTTATGCTCCAGCCGACTCCCACAGAATGAATAATTCCAAGGAACCATGGGGAGGAACATACTCTTTCAATGGATGCAAACACATTGCAACATATTTCTTATTTAAAGACAATGTGGTTGTTTCCTTTTCTATCATTAGCTGATTTTATGATTGAAACACATTGCAGGGAACATAGCAACTCAAGTCAGTTTATTTGTCTATTTTGCTATAGGTATTTGTTCAATCAGCAAGTCTTCCTTGGGCAGAGCTGGGTAGCTGTAAGTCTGTACACATGTCTTATGTTGGCCCACTACCTTTGAATGACACCATTGGGGTACAGAGGATGACTCCACTGGAAGGAAGCTGTCCTTGAGGACAGCATCTGGATTTGAGGAGAGGACAGTCCTGAGGGCGGAGCAGGAGGAGTTCTTAGCTCTGCTGTCGGCCCTTTGCTGCAACAATTGAAGCAAGTGCAGGCCTCCACCCCAATGGAGTATGTAGTGAAGGGCTGTAGGCTGTGAAGAGTCTGCTGTGTGGCCGTGCCTTCAGACAGCTGCAGGAAGACAGAGGACACAAGGTGAGGCAGTGTCACAAGTCACAGACAACAGATAAATGTTTACCATGTATCCCACCTCCTATGAAGGGAGTGCCATGCTGGGTCCCCTGGGAGATGCACTGTGGCATTTCATAGTATTTACCCTGGAGGAATCGCCAATCCAGTTTGAGAGGCATATCTTAAACATGTGAAAAATGTAATGGTATAATAGTTAGAAGTTTGAGGTAACAGGATAGAGATCACGAGTCACAATATTATTTATCACCATAGAAAGATATTAGAATATAGCATAAAACACACAAAATATACTTTCTTAAGTTTTTATTTAAATTCCAGTTAGTCAACATATAGTGTAATATTAGTTTCAGGTGTACAGTTTAGTGATTCAGCATTTCTATATATCACCCAGTGCTTATCACAAGAGCCCTCCTTAATCCCCATCATCTGGTTAACCCATCCCCCCCCCCCACCTCCTCTCTGGTGACCATCAGTTTGTTTTCTATAGTTAAGAGTCTGTTTCTTGGTTTAGCTCTCTCCTTTCCCCCATGATCATTTGCTTTGTTTCTTAAATTCTACATGAGAGTGAAATCACATGGTATTTGTCTTTCTCTGACTGACTTATTTTGCTTAGCATAATACTTTCTGGCTCCACCCATGTTGTTGTCAATGGCAAGACTTCATTCTTTTTAATGACCAAGTAGTATTCCAATATATACACACATATATATACCTCACATCTTTATCCATTCATCAGTTGGTGGACATTTGGGCTTTTTCCATAATTTAGCTATTGTAGATAATGCTGCTAAAAACATTGGGGTGCATATATCTCCTTGAATGAGTGTTTTTGTATCTTTTGGGTCAATATCTAGTAGTGCAATTGTTGGATTGTAGGGTAGTTCTATTTTTTACTTTCTGAGAAACTTCCATACTGTTTTCCAGACTGGCTGCACCAGTTTAGCATTCCCAGAAATGGAAAATACACACAATATTAATCAAATTCTGTGGCCCTCAGAAAAATGCCTTTTCAAAAACAAAATCTGTATTTGAATTATATTTCTAGTCAGTATTCACTAAAGTCCATATTCTGCTATTGTTACCTGCATGTGATTTGGGGGCCAAAAATTCCCTCAAATCCATGTTAGAGTGGGTATCTAAGAGCTTGAAAGTCCATCTCTTCTTCAGAGGGTGTTGGGTTATAGGAAATATCGTAGCCTTTTCTTCAACCATCTTTGTTGCATTATGAACTTTTTGGTTTATTTAGAGCACATATTTTATCTCATTGTGGTTTCATTAAGAACTCTTTGGAACAGAAGAGTTCAGAAACTGGGAAACGAATTTCCACAGTGACGTAAGCAACATATAATTAAGAAGCGTTATCTGCTATTTAAAAAATGCATACAATGCACTCCAAATATAAATTATTTTAGTTTATTAATATTATCATGTTATAACCGTGGATAATCAAGGGTTGATTGTATTTACATCATCTATATTTATTGAATACGAAGCCCTGTAGAAAATATGCTAATATTCCTTTAACATTCAAAACGAGGCCTCTTTCCTTGCAAGTTATTTTTTGAAATTGTGTTTCCATACCTGGCACTCTGGGTTCAGAGGATTTCTCGTACATACCCAAATTGTCCCCTAAATTGGTCTAAATAATTTATAATACCATAGTGGCATCTGCACAACTTGTCCACGAGGGCTTTTTATGAACCAAGTGTCATCATCTACACTTACTCATGAGAAACATGAGTGGGATGTGCTGTGCAGCAGAGAAGAGGTCTCATTCTACTGTTTCTCAGTGTCTTTGTATAAATAATGAAGGAAGTGGTCTCATTAGTTATTAGGGTCCCATCAACCAGTGGCTTTATTAAAACAGTGTGGAAAAATGATTTCTCTAAACTGTCCATTGTGTTTCCCCAATGTGCCCCAAATGTGCCAAGGTAAAAACAATGGAGCAAAGGTTGTGCTGGCCAAACTGCTCTTCTCTCTCCTGAAGCACCGGAACTTTCTCGAAGTCACCAATAGAAAGACTGAGCTTTCAGTGTATTTTTAAACATTTGCTCATGCCAAAATGAGGAGAATAGTCTTTGCTCTATTTTTTCTCTCTCATATTAACATTTACACCACCGATAATGGCCATGTGTTGACTCTTTAGTGTGTGCCATGATTTTTAAGTTAATTGTTGCTAAAGTCTTGGGCTTCTTATATGTGTGGAGTCTTTAATACCTTTAGTACTTCTCTCCCTGAACATTTACATATTTTCTGTTTATTTTCTAACACTTTTTTCAGTGGATCTTTGTGCTAAGTTCATCATGAGCAATTGAGAACACAAGGTCAAGAAAGAAGGGTCAGGAGAAGAAAAGGCAAGGGCACCAGAGTTTATTTTTAAAGAATCAACCAGTCGAGGATTTTTGTTCTGAGTGCTCGGCTACTCACCACGGTCTCTGTGCCGCTGGTGTTGGAGAACAATCTGTAGAGACTGATGATTCCATTTGGCCTCCCAGGGGCACTGATGTTGACCACTGCGTGGGTGGAAGAGACTGTGTGGAACCTGGGGGCTCCAATACCTTCTGGGGGAGCAGGCCCAGTTCTACACCACGTCCAGTTACTGGGGGCCTTTCCTGCTGAATTCACTGCCGAGACCTCCAAAGAGAAATCAAGAAGACTGCTCAAAAGCAAGTTGCCTCAGGCTGAAAGAAAAGTTGGCAACCAAAAGCAACCAAACACGACAGAATGCTCTATAAACTTCGATCAAGCAACTTTGTAATCACAAAGGAGATCAGGTCCTTCCTCTTTTTGCCCATGACCATTTGAATACAAAGGGGCCGATTAGGTGCCCTAATTTCAGAATGCAGCAGGCTTGTTTCAGCCTAATAAGAAACCACTCATTTCTTTATGTGGGGTGTCAGCTTCTGCAACCTGAATGCACCTGCAGACTACATAAAACTCAGCAATTCTTAAACACCGTGCCCACCAAATCTGCATGAAAATTAAATTTTCCTTTCATCAAGGAGGGAATAAACATATGGAAGGATGTATAATCTTATTTATCAAGAACCATTTGTATAATTAAACACGAATATCCTAAAAGGTTGCCTTAGGTCATCATTTGCATGAGTAAGTAATTTGTAGAATGTCAGGTACAATAGACAGAGTAGATGGATGTGTGAGTGTATAGGGTTAAATTAGGCCCAATAACAGCCAACTACACAGTGATCAATCAGAATGATAGATTTAAATGGCAATACAAGAAGACTATCTGCGTGTTTAGGACCAGGAGTATTCCTTAGTAAGCTTTCACGTGCAAATCTAACTTCAGGAAATTTTCTTTCTCATTCGGTATCTACCACAATAGATTCTCTCTTTCTCTTTCTGTCTCTCTGTCTCTCTCTTTCTCTCTATCTAATATATTTGCTCTGAGCTCTTAAAGACTGGAAAACTTGTTTGATTCTATAGTACACACATTCCAGGTATGCCATTTTAAAAAAAAAGCACTCAGAACATTCGAAGAAGGAGATGCTTAGAAACAAACTGTACAATTCTCTGCTGTGAGAGTTTAACCTGGGTTTTGTTTCTTTATTTTTCAATCAATAATATCTTCAAGAGAGTAAATATGGGAGAGACTTTTAGCAGTTAGGCCAAATCTTATTAATGTTTCCATATACTTTTTTTGGTGGTTTCCTTTAGAAAAGTAAAATTTCTGATGTGGAACTGCTCTCAGATTGCTGACAAATGCACACCTGCAGCCCCTTGCTGAGAAGATTGCCAGAAACCCCATTTTTATTTTTTAAACTGTTATTTTATTTTTTTATTTCAAGTTTTTATTTAAATTGTCGTTAGTTAACATATATGGTAACTTTGCTTTCAGGTGTAGAATTTAGCGATTCGTCACTTACGTATAACACCCAGTGCTCATCCCAACACGTGCCCCATATTTTAAGAGACAATTAATTCCTTACAAAACAGAACCTGCCCTTTATAGACACACTTGCTCACTGTTTGTATAATAATCACTCGCATTTTGTAAACCCTCCACTTTACAAAGCACTTTAATGTGTTATCTGACTTCCTCCTCATAATACAACTTCATAGGGTGGCTGGAGAATGTATTAGCTCCTTTACTGGAGAGAAAATTGAGCCTCTGAAAATGTCACTCTCTTGCTCTTAGGTGATAGAAGTTACAAGAACTGAGTAAACTCTTTTTTAATGTTTATTTATTTATTTTGATAGAGAGAGAGACAGTGTGATTGGGGGAGGGGCAGAGAGAGAGGTAAACAAGAGTGTCCCAAGCAGGCCCTGGACTGTAAGCACGGAGCCCAATGTGGGGCTTGAACTCATGAAACCGTGAGATCACAACCTGAGCCTAATCCAAGAGTGGGATGCTTAACTGACTGAGTCACTCAGGTGTCCCTCCAATAAACGCTTTTATTGCTCTTTCCAATAAACCATGCTTTTGATTCTGTATGTCAGCCATATGCATAAGTATGACACTCGGGACCATGAAAATCAAATGGCTCATCTGTAGACAAATATGTGCAGTCCTGGGTTAGGTCAAGTTAGTTTGTAAGGATGGATGGACAGCCCAGGTTGTCTTAGGTGATGGAGATTTACTGTCATAGGCACAGGGACGCAGGGAGCAGCACACTAAATTAGCAATAGGAAAACCACTTCGTGGAAACCAGACCCCAACAGCAGCTGCTCTGCAGTCCCCTCTCAAGTGGCCCCGGTCAGTCTTAGCAGAGGGAGAGTAGGTATAGAGGTTATTGATGAAGAGGTCAGATTTCAGAACTGATGAGAGAGTCCTTGACTCCTCAGTCAGCTCCAGACCAACCTCTTTAATGCATATCTAGCCCAGAGGTAGGGGAGAACATTTCTTGTTACACAAGGAGTGACAAAGTTTGAAAAGAAAATATTCTTGGGGAAGGGGTGCAAAATATGGTGTACGTATTAATATCAAGTTCTTTGCAAAGAATAGGGCTCTTGTTGGTGACTTAAGGTGTTAAAGATAAACTGAGGCATATTAAAAATGTTAAGAGTTTATTTGAACAAAAAACAATTCTAACAGGGCAGCGCCACACAGAAGTGGCTAGGAGCTGTCGGCCAACATAGGGAACATGCAGAGCACAGAAAGGAGATTATTCGATTAGCTATAGCTATTGTTCTTTGTGTTTTGATTTTGTAATCTTGAAGCATTTACCAGCTTAGGTTTCAGTTTGTTTATACAGACCTTCAAAGCATTAGAGCCACCTTAGACTAATAGCCTCCTTGCTTAATTAAATAAAGGGCATACAGAATTTTGATAGAGGTCACAATGGATGGGAAAGAAAACAGGGAGGAAAATAAAACTGGGTGTAATAAAATAAAAATTCAGCGAGTTGCCAGTTAATTACTGAGCACCAATAGGACACAAGCAACAGGGCAGGTGTGAGTATGTTGGAAAAAATGAAAGAAGTATAATCCATAGAAAGTGGTCAGCACGGGGTCCGGCCCAGGATTACGAACATTCACTTTGCTTTCATTTCTGATGTAGATATAGCATCATAAATACTATGAAGGCTTTTTAATGCTAGTGCTGTCAGATAAAAACTAAACCTCATACCTTCCTGTGTTAGGTAAGTTTTTGCTGGGTAGAGTCCTATTTCCAAAATGTGATTTAACCTATGGTATTTTAAAGCACTTGAGCCTTAGTATTATGGTGTTTCTGTGTATTTCTGTGGAAATATTCAGTTCTGAAAAGTAGGCAATTTAAAATTCTCCATCACTAACTGAGAATGTGTGTAGGACGTAGTATCTTTTGTCTTTGACAGGAGACCTTCATAATATAGTGCTCTTTTTCTTAGTCTTTCTTTTTAGTATTCAATCAATTTGAGATCAAAATAGCATTCATATAAATCAACGTGTTTATGCAAAGCAGGAGCAGCTATTTACATGAGCTACTCAGAAAATGAAAGCAGTTACGATGAAGAGAAAGCTGACTGAAATAATGAAGAATTATGGATTTCACAAAATTTGTACCACAAGACAGTGTTTCTGTTACACAAAACCACCAGAATAAGAGTAAAAAAGAAACTATCAATGGTATCCTCTCTGTCTGTTGAAGTAAAAAGTCCTTTTGCCAAAAATTGCTGTGGCTTTCTGCCGATGCCCAGGGAAGCAAGAACAAAGGAACTGAAGTGTAATAGTCCAGGGTTCAGAATAAAAATACTAATGGATATGCTTGTGATTTCTACCGACAAACCTGGACCCCAGGATTTGGGTTCATCTTTATAGGTTGTGAAAAAAGAAGCAGAAATCTTGTATGGGAAATTTTGAGCAATATGCTCTGATCTTTTCATTTTAATGAACCAATACAAAAATCAAGAAATAAAATCTTGTGAACATGGAGTTGCCTACCATATCTATCTCTATCTATCATATCTATCATGTTTCTAATCCATCCATCCATCCATCCATCCATCCATCCATCCATCCATCCATTATCACCTAGTTACCTACTTTTTACCTAACTGACAAGCTAATCCATCTGGTTTGTGTCCCAAGATTTCCTGACATGATCATAAGGTAAATAAACGTGGGCTTTTACTGTGTGGGCTGCTCATAGCAAAGAAGGGACATAGTTATGGGATGAGAGCAAGTAAGGCTTATGCATTACAAGGCCCAGTAGTACAAAGTAAGGATACTCTTTTTTTTAAATTTTTTAAACATTTATTTATTTTTGAGAGACAGAAACAGAGCATGAGCAGGGGAGGGGCAGAGAGAGAGAGGGAGACACAGAATCCAAAGTGGGCTCCAGGCTCTGAGCTGTCAGCACAGAGCCCAATGTGGGGCTCAAACCCACAAACTGTGAGATCATGATTGAGCTGAAGTCAGCGCTTAACCAACTGAGCTACCCAGGCTCCCCAAGAGAGAATACTCCGGGGAGCCGGGGTAGCTCAGTTGGTTAAGCAGCTGGCCCTTGGTTTCGGCTCAGGTCATGATCTGACAGTTTGTGAGTTCAAGCCCTGCAATGGGCTTTGTACTGACAACATGGAGCTTGCTTGGTATTCTCTTTCTCCCTGTCTCTCTGCTCTTCCCCTGCTCATGCTTTCTGTCTCACTCAAAATAAACTTAAAAACAAGTAAGGACAATCTTTATTTTTTATTTATTCAAAATATCTTTATCTCAAATGTATCCAGCTGAAAATATTTATTATTTTATAATTTAAAAAAAGATGAGGGGCGCCTGGGTGGTATAGTCAGTTAAAGGTCTGACTTGATTTCAGCTTAGGTCATGATTTCACAGTTCCTGAGTTTGAGCCTCACATTGGGCTCTGCACTGACGGCATGGAGCCTACTTAGTGTTTTGTCTCCCTCTGCCTCTGCTCCTTCTCAGCTTGTTCTATCTCCCCCAATATCAATAAAATATAAACTTAAAAAATATGATTAAGGTTTTCACTAAAACAATTATTTGTGTTTAGTGAACACTTGCACACACACGTGCACGCGCGCGCGTGCACGCACACACACACACACACACACACACACACTCATAACTGTAAGAGTTAGGAACCTCTCAATGAAGAGCTGTGAAGACTGAGAGCAAGTTTGGACTGGTTCAATTGGAGTGTTCTCTTCTCTAAGGTTTTGGCTGTACCCATGCCAAGA